AGTGTGAGCGGGGCCAGGTACAGACACCACAGTCCGGCCAAGAGGACATGGTATGGGCAAACCAGCCTCTCCAGACCACCAGTCCCAGAGCCGCAGCAGACAGTGCCCACCCTCTGTGGACTCATGGGCTGCAGCTGGAAAACCCATCCTCTGGCAGGAGGGAAGCAGGTAAGACCCACCTGTCACCACATTAGCATCTTTCCTGTGTGGGAAGCCTTTTGGGGCTAAGCCCTCTGCAAAGGTAATTTACTCTGCTTTAATGATCACAGCAGCCCTAAGAGGGAGCTAACATCACATTCAGGTTTCAGAGGATGGGGAGAGGCTTGGGAAGACCATGGGGCTCACCCAGGGTCCTGCAGAATATCCACATCTGGATCAAAGCCAGGGCCACCTGACTCCTGATGGCTCCTCCCTAGTGGCTAGCACTCCTCCAGGAGGCTGGGAGCATTGTGTCGATTTTGGCTATCACTAATAAACCTGCCATGAACATCTGCTGACTTGCTGTTCTTTTCGTAACATCACATTCAGGTTTCAGAGGATGGGGAGAGGCTTGGGAAGACCATGGGGCTCACCCAAGGTCCTGCAGAATATCCACATCTGGATCAAAGCCAGGGCCACCTGACTCCTGATGGCTCCTCCCTAGTGGCTAGCATTCCTCCAGGAGGCTGGGAGCATTGTGTCGATTTTGGCTATCACTAATAAACCTACCATGAACATCTGCTGACTTGCTGTTCTTTTCATCCCAGGCCTCTGTGGAGAGGGCTCGAGCAAATGCTATTGTGCCTCCCTTTGGATAAAGCCTGTGCAATATCTCAATACATAATTTAACAGGCTCTTTGCAGCCTGGAGACAATGTAATGGGCTACAAGGGAAGACCATTTGAGCTCAGGTTCCAGCAACTTTTAAAATAAAGCAAAACACCACACCCCTCTGCTCCTAAATGCTGTCTCACGAGAAAAGGGTCTGAGAAAAGGAATGGGCATCAATTAATAGGAATAGCATCATTTTCACCATTATTGAAAGAAATTGCTAAACCTGTCTATGTGCTGAATTCACGTATCTTCTAAATTCTCATGTGAGAAAGAAATCTCTAACAGATCTGCTCAGAGGGAAAACAGCCGACCGACCTACTTCCTGCCTGGAACGGGGCACGGGAGAGACTTGCATTCACCCCCTGCTTTCTAGAAGAAAGCATCCCATACAGGAGCCAGCCGGTGTGGCCTGACACTGTGTCCACACCCTTATGCAGGGAGAACTGCTTTCACAGAGTATCTGGACTTGGTCCTCTGTGAGAACAGACCAAAGGCACGGTGTTTCCTCGGCCTGGACTCTACGCTTGGAATTGTCAGGGTTTTTTTTTTTTTTTTCCTTTTTGTCTTTTTTCGTGACCGGTAATGGGATCGCAACCCTCAGTGTCGCGCCCACACCACGCTCAACCAGTGAGCGGACCAGTCTCTATATGGGATCCCAACCCTCGGCGGGAGCGCTGCCGCACTCCCAAGCGCCACACTCTACCAAGTGCGCCACTGGGCAGGCCCGGGGGTTTTATTTTAATTTCAGCGATTTGAGCAGATGTGAAGCAGCATCTCGTCATTTTAACCTGCATTTCCTTGTGTCCAATGGATGTCAAGCTTCTTTTCATATGAAGACTGGTCATTTTTATTTTCTGTTTTTCTTTCATCTGTTGTTCTTTTCCTTCCTTCTTTTAGACAAATAAAATATGTTGTTATTCCATTTTACTTCCTCTATTGGCTTCTTAGCCAAACCTTTTTCATTCAGTTTCTTCTAGGGGCTTTCTCTAGGGCTAAAAATATGTATCCTTAACATATCAGATTCTATTTAGTGAATATTGTATCATTCCAATCTTCCCTCTTCATACAAATCTCTTCACAGCTCCCAATCTACACCTGATATCAGCATCATGCTCTAACCGAGTGGGGACATGGATAAATAAATTGTAGAGACTCTGGATTATCTTCCACTAAAGAATCTTGATTTTTATTCTAGTTGGCAGTTCAATTAATGTGTTTATCACATTGGGCTTGTGTAGGATTGGTTTTATGCTTTGCTCAGTTGGGTCTGAAGCATGTCCAAGGTGTTTTCTAAGGCCCTCTAACTTGGCAGGACTCAATCTCCAAACTCTGTCTCTCTTGCAGATTGTGCCCAGGCTTTGTTAAGGCAGATATAGAGTAGGCCTTATACACATGGAAACCTATGGCTCACAGGCCACATCTGGCCATAGGGTGTTTTTGTAAAGACTTTGAGCTAAGAATGGTTTTTAAAGAGTTGTTTTAAAAAGAAAGACAAATGAGATAAAAATGGTATGTGGCCTGCATAAGATACTCATCTGGGCCTTCACAGATAAAGTTTGCTGACCCTGGAGAGCGGTCCTAATCTAGTGTCTCAGCTGAATGTCTTCTGTTACTGGTATCGCAAAGACCTCTCCCATAGCACTGCTTGATCTCGATTTTGTGCCATTCTCAACTCTGTACAGGCACTCCCTGGCAAGCCCCAGGGAGTCTCACCCTGAGTCTCACACCTAGCCCAGCCCAGCCCAGGCCAGCGGCATGTAGACTCCTGGCTCCCCGTTCCTGCTTAGCTGCTCCCTCTGCAGTGCTCTGCCTGGTGGGCTCTGGCTGCCCTAAAGTCTGGTCTCTGATTCTCGCACAGCTACAGTACAGCAGGCTACACTATACACGCACTTAGCAATAGTGTTCATACTCAAATTATTTCTCACACACATTTACTTTTTTCCTTTTTTTTGGCAGTTGGCCGGAACTGGGATCTGGACCCCTGGCCTTGATGTTGTAACATCATTCACTAACCAACTGAGCCAACCGGCCAGCCCATTTACTTTATTTGCAAAAATTACCCAAACCAATTTTTACTTGTGTTGTGGGGCAAATGCACAGAGAATCCAAGACCAGCATCAGTGTTGCAGTTTTTATAGCTCTTTATTTTAGTGTTGCAGCTCTTTGTTCAGTGTTACAGCACCTCTTTTTGCTTGCAAGCAAGGAGAGGACTGGGGAGCAAAAACTCCTAAACCAGTGTCTCCCAGAACAAAGGAAAAGACCATCTTATATAGCCTAAATTCCCGCCCTTTTCCCACCGAAGTTCCCATTCAGGTCCTCTTATGTAAATGAGGGATGAAGTCCAGCTAATTTGGATTGGCTGATTATGGGACACAGTCCCGGTCACTTTTGGAGCCTAATTTGCAGGAGGCCTGTGGGGGATGTGAGACTGCTGTTATCTCCCAGAGGGTGGGTGCAGGAAGAAAGCAAGCTAAGTCACAGAGGCCAGAGTCTGCAGTTAAGGCAGTCAAGAGTGGGGTTTCTAAAAGTTTCTCAAGTGGGAAAGGGGAAAGGCTTAACAATTAGAAAATGCTTAGGGTTCCCTGCAACACTTGCGCAAAAACTTACAAGCCGTTACAAGTAAGGTTTTATCTTGTGGCATTCCCAGCACACACAACACTGCCTACTCTTGGGAGGCTTGCGGGGCTGGTGTGGGCGAGGCTGGGACAGGGCAGAGGACTCAGGGCCCATCGGACAGCTTCGGGGGCGGGAGGGCAGCGCTGGAGCAGATGGTGGCTGCGTGTAGGGCAGTGGGGATACCTGGATCGCGGAAGGCGGCCTCCAGGAGCGCTCGGGAGGAATTCGGTAGCAGGGTTACACGAGCGCGACGCTGTCCTGCTCGGGGCAGTGGCTCAGCTTCGCAAAGTCGGTGGAGCGAGCAGCCGCGAAACCGACCAGACAGAGATTATAGAGCAGGATGCGCAGACTCCGCGCGACGAAGACTACTGCACCGCTGCGATCAGCCTGCACCGTAAGCCCCGGGAGCCCCGCTTAGCCCCGCGTCTGCGAGGCGCCGGCGCCAGTGGGACAGTACGCACGCGCGCCCGCCGCCGAAACGGCGGACCGGCGCCGGAAGTCCCGCCCCCTGGAGCCGCACGCCCCGGAAGTGGTCATGTCCGGCGCCGGGCCGGAAGTGGACGCGGCTGGCA